GCATCGTCGTCAAAAGAAAGATAATAATAATTGATATAATTAGTGAAGTTATTCAGACTAACAGACAGAAAAACGAAATAAAGAAAACGTAACAACAGACAGCTGATTAAATTTGAAGTTGATATATATATATATATATCGGTAATAATAATGTGTAGTTAGAGTTTTCAGGAGAGTATGATGGGTAAGAATGTAAAGAAGTAAAACGACAAACTTAGTTGTCTACCCCTGAATGGTGCATGGGATTTTAAGGGGAGAGGCCATTTGGACGCAGTCCTTGTGTCGCTGCATGTTCTCTAAAAGGCATCCACTGGCGATGCCATAGCTACATATGCCGGACAAATAATTCATGGCAGGCACAAAAATCAACCTTTCCACAGACTAACAGAAAATTTGTATCTATCTGTTTGTACATTTTCTTAAATCCACACAATATTCTAGTTATATTTATTATTGTTTTCTCTTTGCGGCAACACCCGATGATCAGCAGTTGAAAGGATCAACTCCGTTCTCAGCAGCGTCAGTCTTTACACAGATTTCAGACTTATTTGTTGTAGAAGGTTTGGAGCCTATGTTAATCCTTTTCTAGTAAATTTCTATGATTGTCCAAACCTTTCTTAAATGAATCATTTGAGGTTGTAGATACCACTTCTTCTTCTTCTTCTTCTTCTTCTTCTGGGAGTCGGTTCCAAGAGTTTATGATTCGATGTGAGAACCAGTACTCAACATCAACATGATTTCTTCTTGGTTTTTGAAGTCTCCTGCCATGTTCTCTAAGGTGTTCCGACTACCTGGTGGGAAGGAAAAGAGAGAATAGGTCAGGTCCGTTGTCATTATTTAAAATTTTAAGCATTGTGATTAAATGTCGTCTCTGCCTACGGTATGACATGGAGAAGAGATTTAAACTGTCTAGTCTTTCCTCGTATGATAAGTTAGTCATACCGTGAACTATACGTGTTGCCTTCCTTTGAACCCTTTCTAGAATGTGTGGGTCCCCTTTTAGACATGATCTTAGCTCAGAGAGCCGAGAAGCGACAAGGACTGGTTGGCTGCCTGGATTTAGTTCTCCAGTCTTTACTTCACCAGAGATGAATATAAGGGGGTGAACATATCTCTGGTGATTCTAGTTAGTAAAGGCTCTGTGAATTGCCCACAAGGACCTGAAACTACGTGCAGCCATCGCGCGACAGTGTGCTGTAGTTTTCAAATCGTTGCTAACTATGCCACCTAAGACCAAGTGAGTCTGAACTGATGGGAGTGTTATTCCCTCTAGTTCGTGGGAGCTGGTACTTGCTTGTCCGATGCGCATGGTTGTACATTTTGCCACACTGATCGGGAGCATCCATTCAACAGACCACTCTGACAATTTGTTGAGGTCCTGTGGCACACCACATGCTACAAACCACGTTTAACTTATTCCAGCACCACTTTCCTTAGTGTCAACCAAAGCTACGGCAGTCGAGTGGCGAGGTACGTGGAAGTTAACCGAACACCAGGAACCTTTACCTTCAGTCAAGAAGCCAACTCAAAGAAATCAATTTGGCTTGCACCAACCCTAAAAAAATCGATATTGGATATTTTGTAAGGAGCAAATTAAAGCCCAGAATTTGTTTCAAAGGTGACTTGTGGTCCTTGTGGTCTAAGATTTATCAATATTTTAGTTTCTGTCCTCCAATTTACACCTGAACTATAATTCGATGAGATCAGGTATCTTGTCTGGGTTCCCTCGCATATGTAGTCTTCAGTGACTTCAATTATTATTATTTGTTATTCACATAGTAATCAGACACTAGGTTTTCCCAGAACTTGTTTAGCGAAGCCAAAACAGAAGGCATAATTTGGTTATTTCACTGTAACTAGTTGGTTTTGAAATAACAAAAGATTTGTAGCTCAGGTGGATGATTTGCAATTAATAGTGTTCCCCGAGGAGCTGGTTTAGTTGTGGAGCTTTCGTCGTCCCCCCTGCTGGACAACATCCCCCTTCAGCGCAATTTTTAAGTATAAAATGAAATGATTTAAATTTTTTTCATGAGTGGTAGAATTGTGTTCGTCTCCCAGTAACCGTCTTTACATACGTTTTGATCATTCATCTTCTATTGAATTAGATTTTAAACTGTCTGGTCACATGATCTGCTTTTTATTAGTTGGCAAATGTGGTCTGTATTAGCGTGTTTGTTAAACGCTGGCTGATTCGTTTGAATGCCAGGCTTCTAGGAATTCCCTTGTCTAAAATTTTGATATTATCCAAGTTTTCAAACTGGTGTCCATAATTATCTATATGCATTGATTGATATGACAGGAATATATATATATATATATATATATATATATATATATATATCATGTCTTTTCACAGATGATTTTTGTTCTTGGATTCTGATTCGAAGAGGAAGCCCACTTTGGCCGATGTAGTGCCTGTTACAGTTCATACAATTCATTTTGTAAATGGTATTAATTTTATCTCCTTTCTCTTTTGGATGTGTCTTTCGGTTTGCATAATATCGAATTAAGCGATTTGACTAGCTTGTGTGCTATATCTATATCAAACGGTTTCAATGGTCTAACTGTTCTTTTAGAGATATTTTTTCCCACATATGGTAGGATGAATTTTGTTCTGTTCTTTGATGATGATTCCTTTTTGGTGCTGTGATTCAAAGAAGATATTGTCCAGATGGACGACGAAAGCTTCTCAACTAAACCGACCAGCTCAGAGAACACTATTAATTGCAAACTAGTTGGTTGCCAAAGGCTGTGGCCGCTATAATTCATCTCTGCTCATTAGGGCTAATGCGTATGTTACACGCTTGGTAGTCATCTGGTGCAGACTACTTGATGTGAGTGCGTTGCAGGCAACAACCTCAGTTAGTTGTAAATCCCACTACGATTTCTAAGGGTGTGTGTACTGCTCAGCAGTCTGCGCCGTCCTCCTTTATGGCTACCTGTGACACCTGGTCAGTGAGAGTGGAAGACATGAAAAGATTAGCTGTCTTCGATCATGGGTGCCTGCTTCCTATCTCCCGTGTGAAGTGGTATGATAAGGTGAGCAATATTGAGGTTAGGCGTTGGTCGAGTGCTAGGTAGGTGAGAGGGGAAATCAATCGACGAAGCTGTGAAATTTAATCGACTGAGTTAGATGGTTAGGACATGTGTTACGAATGAATGACTAGTCACCGCCTTCCTCGACAATGGGCGATGTTAGGTGACATAGGATTAGTCAGGCTAGAAAAGACGAAGCGAGTGGCGGTCAAATCAAAACATGGCTTCGTCAGTCAATAAAATCCACAACAGTTAGTTTCAGCCAGCCAGCCACTGAGGAAGGCGTAGATCTCCTGACTGGCTGGTTGGGGTCCTCGGGATGGTAAAAACGAATGAAGGCTGGAAACAATTGGTGACATGGCTCAAAGCTACCGTTCTCAATGGCGCAGATGGATCCACTCCTTGTGACTTATGACTTCCAATGAAACTGTATTGTCCTTCGTTCGTTATTACTATTTCTTTGTCTCACGCCTCCTCTGTTTACTGTCTCTCTATTATGCATTTCTTCTACTTTCTTCTCTTGCTTTGTGTGCTACAAGGAGTGGAGTGTAGCGACTTGAACTGGTGCACATCGGTGGAAAGTTCTATGTCGAAAACAGGCAGACAGACAGACAGTTCCTCCTTATTGTCTGATCTATACGTTTATCATGTTTGCATGTTGCCAGCAAACAGCAAATAATAATTAGGCTGGCGCGGTAAGACAGATCTCTGCAGAAAGCAAGTGAAGTAAGTATGAGTTGTTTTTTAGTTAAATATCGATCTGCATATCTGTTGCCCCATTTGTGCACACTTATCGGTTTTATCATTCTTCTCAGTGTTTTCGTGTCGATGTATTTCGAATGCTCAAATTACATGTATAAGATTTTATTTTGATAAATCACACAATGTTGTACAGTAATATTAAGTGACGCGACCACACGCCATTTCGAGCACAATTTATTTTTGCCACTCATAATCATATCAAGTCACTCAATCACTCACTCACACAACTTTCTTGTTCCCTTCATTTATATACATGAGTGGAATCGATGATTAGATATTGTAATAAAAATCAGTAATATAGGATAATGTACATTCAGAAATAATAATAATAATAATATGAGTGTTATCCATCAAACACAATCAGATGGGGGGAAATAAGACGAGTGTCTCGCTTTTATAGTCAAAATAAGTGAGTAACTTGTTAGAATGTTGTGATGATGTACGTGAATTGAATTGAAATAGAATACAATTTGAGATTATTTATTATCCTCCTCTGATTTCACTGACTGACTGGTGGTAATAATATCTTCCATGCATATTTGTGGTATTTGCATTGAGTCATTTCTGTTGCATGTGTTGTGTTGGGTGTAGACTCGATGCACCAAGCAGGATTCAGTAATCAACCTCTCCCACCCCCAATTACCTATATTACTTCTTAGAATTTTAACCCTCTCCCACCATGCCATTGTGCGGTTGTGTGTTAATGCATGCATGCAGTGGAATGTAGTACTGAACATTTTTCTAAATTACTTATCTTCTCGAGTGGGGTCGACCATTTTTACCTTAGATAAATTCTTATTTTCCGACAATCTGGTTACCCCCCGACCTATTAGTTTCGCCTATGTAGGTGGTTGACCTAACTTACAGTCATTGCAGGGTATTTTGTAAATTATATTATTTTGCTTAATTGGATCAACTAACAGGGTCCTTTAACCTACTCAAATGAAATACTTTCATCATAATTCAGCTGTATTATTAAAAGCTTGTTCTTTCTTTTGTGTTATAGCTGGCTGTCACTATATATATATATATATATATATATATATATATATATATATATAAATGCAACTCACTGGGACATTTGATGTAAAACTCGGGAAGAGTTTTCTTCGTCGAGATCCAACATCATCTTATATGACAATGCGTTGTGATTTTTATGCCTGCCTTCGTGGATCGATCACAACCTGGTTTAATCAGGGTAAATGATGAAGGTAATCAGGTGATTGTTAACATGGCGAATGTTTTAACAAGTGTACCGTGACAATGAAGGCAACAACGACATTTCGTGGAACTGCTCGTTCTGTTCAGAAAGAATGTATTTTAATATATAATAAAAATGTAAGTCTCCTGTTATTGTTTTTCTTTTTTTGCATAGCTTCTTTTTTGCATGAAACATTTATCAGTTTTAATAAACAAAATTGGTACATTATGGGAAGCAAGAGATTATTATTATTATTATTACTTTCTCCAATTCCTAAAAGAACATAGGGCTTCAGCCGCGCACGTCGTCATTGTGTTTGGTTTTCTGTCTGTCTGTCTGGATTCAACATAGAACTTGGCACCGAAGTGCACCAGTTCGAGTTTTTATTTTATTTATTTTTTTTTATTACAGCTTGATTCCACACTGTATTTTTGGTACAAGTATGGAATTTTCAGCGTGGATATCGGTAGCCCAAAATTCGCAGGCCGACCATAGATATCAGGTGTGCGTCGGCGTGGGCTCGAACCCCGGATCATATGCATGGTTGGCGAGAGTCCTAACCACTGTGCCACCGACGCACGTTCCAAATAGCACACAGAGGTAGACAAGAAGATGAGTGAAGAGAATCAATAGAGTTTGACAAGTATAAGAGTGAAACAGAATGGGTAATGGTAGAAAAGGATATGAAAGATTACAGAGACTGAATACATGTGCGCTGGCCATTGACAACGATTTTGAGCCATGTCACCTATTGTCTCCAGCCATTGATTCCTAGAGTCAGTCCCGAGGGCCCCAACCCGGAAGTCTGCATCTCCCTACCTGACTCAGTTGTTTAACTGTCAAGGATTTCATGGATTGATGATGCCATGTTTTTGTTTGGCCACCACTGGCTCTTTTCCAACCTGCACCTATATCAGCTAGTAATGCCCATCGGGGGAGGCGGTGGTTAGGCATGCGCAGCACGTGACCTAGCCATCTTAGTCTATGTAACTTTATAGCCTCGTCGATTGATTTTCCCTCTTCGCCCAACACTCTACGCCTAACGTCAACATTACTTGCCTTATTATACCACCACCTAACGTGAGACAGAGATCGCAGACATCTATGATCGAAAGCAGTCAACCTTTTCATGTCTTTAACGCGTATTGGTCATGTTTCAGAGCCATAGGGAAGGACGGAGCGAACTGCTGAGCAGTACATACGTCCCTTGGTTGATAGCCAGCCGGATGTCACGCCTTCGCCAGAGATGGTGTAAGTCAGCGAAAGCAGCTCGAGCTTTTTGTATCCTTGCTGAGATTTCATCGCCAATCAGTCCGTTGGTGATACTGATACAACTTCCCAAATAGGTGAAGTGGTCGACATGTTCTGTCACTTCACTCCCCCCTATCACTAAGCTAGGAGTTGACGTGGTCCAGTCCTGTAGCAGCATCTTACATTTTGTAGGGGCGAATCGCATGCCAAACATACGAAGATTGCTGCTCAAGGTGTTCAGTTTTCACCTGGCTCCAAGTCTGCCCACATGCTTTCATCATATCTTCACATGACCTCCTCCTCCTAGTCACCCCACCGTAGGACGACCAACTCGCCACTTCCCTTTCGGGTTCTATTATGTAATCGTCGAGTAGTTAATAGTCCTGACGCAGAAAGAGGGAAATCAGAAGACCACCAGGTTTACGATGATACTTGAATTTTCCAGACAAGGAAAATAAATGTCACACAAGAGTGTGAGTGAATTGGTACCAAATGTACGAAATTTGTGTGTACAAGAAGGATAAAGCAAGCGTATATATGAAAATGGCTAATACACATAAACCAAAAAGATAACGTCTTACCATGATTGGTTGTAATGTCATGTGATAACAAGGTCATACATGTCTAATATAATAGACTGTCAAAGACAAAACACACATCATGTGGATACATATCAGGTTCCACTCGAGCAATGACTTGTCTACCAATGTCACTTGATGGTTTGTTTTCTCAGAGTATGGCCAGCCAATCCACCTCCATTTCTTTCTGCTGTGTTGGTCCGCTCATTGCCGGAGATCCCTTCCTGTAGCTGATCTTTTCTAGCCGGCCATCTGATCTTGAGCAAAGTATTGAGCGAAGACAGCTAGCTGTTGATGAAGGTCTGTAGTTTGTTTGAGGTGCTCTTTATGACGCGCTAGCCAAGTCTCTGATCCGTATTGTGAGTAGTACTGACTGACTTCACATTGGAGTTGAAAATCCGATTCTTATTTCTCATTACGAGTGCTGTTGACCTCCACACAGACTTGAGATTAATGAAGGCTTGTCTTGCTCTACTGATCCTCGCTTCTTTGATATCCTCGTCAGTTCCGTCAGCCTGTAGTTGAAACGATGTTTCCCATGTCGGTCGATAGGTAAAGGAGGTTGTTTCTTTCGGGCTCCTCCCATTTATGCTGGCTGATTGTTGTCTGTTGTTGTTGTTGCTGTTGCTGTTGGCCAGGAAACTTCATCACCTATCTCTGTTTTCTCTATGTTCACTTGGAGTCCTATCTTCTCTGGATGGTTGTTCTGCCGACTTGTTGCTTTTCACTTGCATATCTTCCAGCAGTTTGTGGGAAATCAGACATATACATCACATCGGCGAAGTCCAGATCCTCCAAGTTATTGTTTCGTGTGGGTCCATTTTATGCCTGTTTCCCCACTGCCCTGGCCGCTATCTGTCGCATTATTCAATCTACTGCAATTAGGAAAATCATTGGCGATAGCAGGCAGCCACCCAGCCTTGTCTTACTTCCATCTTCACTTCTTCGAAGGATTCCGTAAGTTTCCCGTTGTGGATCCCTTCCGATAACTGCTACCTTGTCGTGGTGGTCGGGCTTGAATACCGTAATGATCCAACGCAAAGAGGGAAAATCAATCGACGAGGCTATAAAGTTACATAGACTAAGATGGCTAGGTCACGTGCTGCGCATGCCTAACCACCGCCTCCCCCGATGGGCATTACTAGCTGATATAGGTGCAGGTTGGAAAAGAGCCAGTGGTGGCCAAACAAAAACATGGCATCATCAATCCATGAAATCCTTGACAGTTAAACAACTGAGTCAGGTAGGGAGATGCAGACTTCCGGGTTGGGGCCCTCGGGACTGACTCTAGGAATCAATGGCTGGAGACAATAGGTGACATGGCTCAAAATCGTTGTCAATGGCCAGCGCACATGTATTCAGTCTCTGTAATCTTTCATATCCTTTTCTACCATTACCCATTCTGTTTCACTCTTATACTTGTCAAACTCTATTGATTCTCTTCACTCATCTTCTTGTCTACCTCTGTGTGCTATTTGGAACGTGGCAACTCGAACTGGTGCACTTCGGTGCCAAGTTCTATGTTGAATCCAGACAGACAGACAGACAGAGAATGATCCAACATGCTAAACTGACTAGGACTCTGTCCCTGCAGGTCCTACCATGTCAGGAAGGTTGTTTGGATAGCGGTTCAACTAAAAGCAGTTACCATGGGGTACATGGGCCCCAGTATCCAATCGGATCAAATGGCGTATGAACCCATATGGGTCACCGGGAACCATGGGAATGCAGCTCCTGACGCTGGTCCGCTGCCTTGCGGATTAGACTCCAAGTCAAAGGCTCGGGGGTGGTCCCTTAATAAAACCACCTGCTTCGGTCTGGGCGCCCGGGAAGTATCTCAGCTCTCACACAATGAATTGAATGAAGCAACAAACAATCAATGAAACTTATCGCATGCTATTACACGTGTTGCAATTTCCTTCTTTCTTCCCTTCCCGATGATGGTTAACGAATGCTGTTTGAACTTGTTAAGCATGTCTGTTTTATTGCCAGATGAAGTTCTTTATCCGTTCTCTACTTATATATATATATATTCTTTTATTCTTTCATTTTTTCTTTTGATCTTTGTTTTTTTATTATTATTGTGTGGCGCATCCTTCTTGGTGCCATATTGTACCAACTTATAATGCGTTTAAATAAATAAATAAATCAGTTAGATGTATCACAAATACACAGAAACGGTATTATTTACTGCATGACATTTCGAACAAAATTTACTGTTCGTAATCATACCACCAATTATAATCACACGACTTCGAAACTTGACTTTTATAGTTTTCTTTGTGCTCTCCTATTTGTCGTCGTCATTGGCGAAGTAGAATTTTCCAGATATCTAGCTGGACAGGTGATATGTATCCACATGATGTGTGTGTTTTGTTGTTGACAGTCCATTATATTTCGCTATGTGTATATGGATCGATATTTCATTATAATTGACAATATGCTTTTGTCTGTCCACTAACAAAATAAACATGTATGACCTTGTTATCACATGACATTACAACCAATCATGGTTAGATGTTGTCTTGTTGGTTCATGTGTATTAGCCATATTCATATATACCTTTGATTAGACACTTGTATATTATTCTTGTGTTCACACACATTTCGTACATTTGGTACCATTTCACTCACACTCTTGTGTGTGACATTTATTTTCCTTGTCTGGAAAATTCAAGTATCATCGTAAACCTGGTGGTCTTCTGATTTCCCTCTTTCTGCGTCAGGACTGTTAGCTACTCGACAAGTACATAACAACAGGTTTCGAATCATTCCTATTACACGTATTCACTCTCAGCTGGTCCGATAAACAAAGCTTCTGTTATCAATCTCTCCCACCCTGTGACATCAGATTTCAAAACTCTCATCCTATCCCATCCAGCCTATTGTATGGCTGTGTGTAACTGCATGTAGTGAGTGGTATAGCTGAACTATTCTCTAGATTTCTTATCTTATTCGGGTCAACAAATCTAGATTTCGCTGGTCGATTTTAATGCTCGGCTAGTCTGACTGACTGACTGACTGACACTGTTCTACTAGTTTGACCTGTCAATCATTCCACAGGCAGGGTATTTGATAAGCTAAGTTGTTTTGTTTCAAAGCCTCCACAGGACTGATTTATCCTTTAACAGACAAAGCTTGTTTCTAATTGAGTTTGTCGTTGGTTTGAATGCCATTTACTTTTATTCCTGCCCGGCTTGTTAGGAATTCTGAGTATGGTGGTTTCCGAGGTTCCTTCCTTATTGTTGGTGTTGTCTTGTGCACATTTGACTTGCATGTCGTCATTAATATTACTACTACTACTACTACTACTACTACTATTATTATTATTATTATTATTATCATAACTGTCACTACTATCATTATTTATTATTTATCTTTACATCTCCCTACATATTTCCTGACTAATTTATCAGGGTAATTATTAAGTTTCAAGGCTTCTCTTATATGCCTCACTTCCTGTCTTAGATTTTCTTTGGTACTACTTAGTTTTTGTGCCCTACTAGTTAAACATTTCACCAATCCTATTTTCACTGACATAGGATGGATGGGTGGGCTGATCGGAGGTCCAAATATGTCTTTGAATGTGTGGGTTTTCAGTAAACACACTAGCGTGTTCAACTTCCCATCTTCTCTGCTTTTTACACTGTAATCGAACATTGGAGGCTCCCCTTTCCTGACTTTCCAATTCATCATAAGTGTATTGATGAATTGCCTCCATCTTTGAGTTATAATGTGTTCGAAAAATCTATCTATATCCTGTGTTCTAAGTACAGTGAATGTTGTCATCTTCCACCATACTTCACCATACTTTTGGGGGTGGCAAATATATGTAATAGGAATGATTCATCACCTCTACAGTTATATATGTGGGGAAAATTCTACTACCCCTCCCCCCCCCCCGAATGACGACGACAAATAGGAGAGGACAAAGAAAACTATAAAAGTCAAGTTTCAAAGTCGTGTGATTATAATTGGTGATGTGTATGATTATGAACAGCAATAAGTGAATTGTGTGTATTCGAATCTGTGTCATCCAGTAAATACTAATACTGTTTCACTCACTCACTCACTGACTGTGTGATATATCCATCTAATAAACAAACTAATACGGAACTACCTACTACCACCACCACCACAGAGCCCAGGATTTATACATATATTAACAAGAATAGAGGACATTAAATTTCTGAGTTCTTACCTTGCAAACTGAACGGCATCATAGGAAATCACAAAATACTGTTTGTTTCTATCCAAATGTTATTTAGGTAATGCACATTACGAATACTGGAGTGTAACTGTACTCATTGTAGAGTATGAATGACTCACATTAACTTTTACAATCATGGTGTGCCTATTCATTGATATGCATTGTAATTTTGTGAGTGTGGAACGCATAAACTTTAATTTTGCTTTATTTATCTTTATTCTTCTTTCTAGACCCATGAAGTGACTGTACAGTTGAAGCAAACCCGTGAGGGACGAAAGCCCAATACATCCTGCCTTCGTCATTCTGAGGCTTCACATTTCCTCCCGCTCTACCTAACCGTTCAGATCAAGAAAGGAATTTGAAATCTAGTCGACCTCTACTCCTCCTGTTTTAGAAAAAAGTCAGCAAATGATTCTGAGATGTTGTCTCTTACTTCAAATACTACAGGACAACAACAGTCATCGGAGAAGAAAACACACTCGAGAACTCTAAGTAGCAGTAGTAGTAGTAGTAGTAGTAGTAGTAGTGGTGTTTCCAGTAGCCAGTAGTAGTTGTGAGTCGTCAGACACTGGTGACAGTGATTCAATCAAGTTCTGCTCTGAGCAGTTTGTCATCAAGTGAAAGAAAGAAATCAGCGAAAAATAAGCAGCCAGCCTCTTCGGATGCTAAGCCAGTGGTGGTGGTGGTGGGGGGTTAATCCGAATTCGGCAGCTCATCGTTAAATTGATTGAGCATGATTTGAGCGAGTTGAGTGATTCTGACTCAAACTGCTCCAGTGACTTGGAGGAGGAGGGGGAGTACTACTACAACCGAAGGAATTAGTTGCCCAATTTTGTTTTTAGAATGTGTAAATATATAAATTAATACAATCTTCCGACAAAACAATAAGAAGACGTAGTTTATCTGAAACGTGTAATGTTGTATTGGCGCAACACATTTCGAACATTCTGATCACACACACACGAGTACTTGTCATACACAGTTTTTATAGAAGGCAAGAAAGCATGAATAATTACAATACAGGTCAGATTGTGTACAGGTCAAGGTCACAAAATAATGGGTAAGGAGACGCAAAGGGTGTGGGTAAGAAAGATAAAGGGATGGGAATAAAAAAGGCAAAGAAAGGGTTTGAAAATATTATGAAGTAAAATTGGTCCTTGGTTCTAAGTTGGATTACCAAGGCAGGTTTATGGTGATAACAAATAACTTTTGGACGCATAAGACAGACAGGTTCAAATCTTTTTATGGCTAAGGCTTCAATGAATTTAAGTATGTGACCCAACCTTGTCTTATATATCGGCTTAAAGGCATTGTTGAAATCAACCTTATGACCCGTCTCTATAATACGCTTCGCTATAGATGATGTTGGACATCTATTTCCAGGGTCAATTGTATCTGGAAATTTCATTTGTTGTTGCGGCCACTTTGGAATGTGTTCTGCAGCCCCCTAACATGCAGAGACCGATGGGTCCTCCCTATGTACGTGTCTCCACACATACATGTAAATTGATAAACACAGTGGGATGTGACACTATCGTTCGGATAATGTGAGGGTTTACAGGACAGCATAGTTTTCGTTTTCTCTATGAAGATAAGTTCAACTACATAACAGGTTCTATTAATTACGGCCTTTAGTCTTTGTCTAGTGACTAGACTTTGTTGATCACCTCTGAACAGCAAGGATATGTAAACATCCCTTTTTTGGGAACTGATTGGATTAGTAAAGCTTTATGATGGTTGACACTTCCATAACGTCTAATAAATCTCAGTGGGTAATAGTTATCTAACAATATTTCAGTGAGGTGTTGTCTTTCTTCTTCAATTGTATCGGCGGTACACATACGGTGAACGCGCTTGAACAAACATTTAACCAACGCCTTTTTATACTGTAGTGAACAGAAACTACGATAATTTAGAAACTGTCACGTCCATGTTGACTTTCTGTAGACAGATCGTTTTATCGACCCATCTTCTTGGCGGGTTATGAGTACATCTAAAAATGACAGGTATCCATTATTCTCTTTAGCATAAGTTACCGATATAGTATTTTGTACTCTGTTGATCTGGTTTAGGATTTCTATGGCGTCCATCGGTTGATCACAAATGACCATTATGTCATCTACATATCTTTTATAGAAATAAACTTTTCCAATTTCTTTCTCCACTAGGTTCTCAACATGCGACATATACATTTATCACAGCTAACAATGGACCTAACACGATCTTTATTATTTATTTTATTATTTCGAAAAGGGATTAATTCCTGTGATGTTTTCATTTATCTTTAAAAAAATAAATAAAATAATGTTGTCTACCTGTACCAGATTCTATTTTTCCCTGAAAAGTGTAATCAATTTGTTTGAATGAGATTTTAACCCTCTAACTTTCTTTAATGCATATAGTGTGTATTGTGACTGTGTTTGTGTGTGTGTATGTGAACCAAAATAGAATAGTGATTTTTATTTATTTGATAGTAATATTGCAACAGCAACACCGGGTTGACTGTCCATTGGATGACAGTCTAGGGAGATGGCTAAACCCTGCCGGATTCCAAATCTCCAACGACTGGCGTATGAAGCACACCGGAGCTCACCGGTAGGCAGACGTATGGACAAAGGGCTTATTGGATGCCCTGGTGCATATCTGGCCCCATTCAAAAAGGCGTATGAACCGGACTCCGGTGACCGGCTGGCTGACAATGGATAGTGGACTCCCTACGCTACTCCACTCCTACTGCCTTGTAGGTCACACTTGATTGGTTGTGTAAAGGCTAGAGCTGCACTGTCAAAGAAAAGGCCGAGCGATGGTGGGGACATCACTCGTACCTAATTCCCATGAAACTTCATGAACTCTGTTACAAACAACTCTCACCTGGAGCAAGAGGGAAATCAGTCTCAGGACTAAAATTCCGGTCTATCAAGCCTCCATACGATCCGTTCTCCTGTATGGCTGTGAAACCTGGCCTCTTCGCGCGGAAGATTTATGCAGACTCGAGGTAGTAGACCATTGGTGCCTCAAGGGTCAGACAACAGATCGTTTATTAAGGAAGTCTTTCAATAGTATTGAGGGAATATTTGCATGAAGGGCATAAATTATGACGAATAATGATAATAATAATAATAATTGTAGCAATAATAATAATATTTGTAATAATAAGCAAAGGAAAAAAATTCAAGAGGGTTAAGGGGGGAAGGAACACTTGATGAGCAGAAGAAGAATCATCAAAATCCAAGTTTGGCCATTGTTAGGAACAGCCAGCGTCTGGACGTGTTCTTTTGGACAAAAACTTCTGGTTTAGTCGATCTTGTTTTAATCTTCATGCATATACCATTTCAGCTGTTCCTGTGGTTCAAGTTATATAGGGTGCACGATTAAGCAGGTTCGTTTACGGGTTCGAGATTATTTACCAGCTTGGTTCAGCAGGGGGGCGGGGGAATTAAGTGCATAAAAAGCTCGATCTTGTCACACTTGATCGAGACTACTGGACATCGTATCTATGTCAAGACAGCTTTCAGGGTTATATATCGAATTCCGAAGTCGTTATCACGTACAATTCGCTTACTTCTCCGACACATAGCTGAAGCTGTTCTGTTGCAATAAGATCGACTAAACCGGAAGTTTGTATCCAAAAATAAGAACACGTCCAGACGCTGTTCCTACCGTGGCCAAACTTGGATCAATGATTCTTCTTCTGTTCACCAAGAGTGCTCCTTCCCCTTAACCCTTTTGGTTCTTTTCCTTTGCTTATTATTACAATCATTATTATTATTCATAATTTATGCCCTTCATCCAAACATTCCCTCAATACTCTCGAATTTTTCACTTATGCGGGCTTATTATTAGTGATATTGCCTCTTTTCTCAATATATGCCTCCACCTGTTTCATTTAACATATTCTTTATCTCATTATGAACCTCTCATTGCAGTTTTACTATCTCCCGTTTAACACAGACCACTTTGTACTAGCTACTCACTCACCTGACACCTTGAACTTACTTAGTTGTCAATTTTCCTACCCCACACTCCACAAATCTATTATGACGACTAATCACCACCACCATTGTCTCCCATTTCACAGAAATATTTTTTTAATCGATTTCAACCTACTAGCACGATGTTTATCACACTCAAATACGACTACTATTTATTTTGACACCCCATAACTGCTGATCTGTTATTCTACGTTAAGTAAAAATGTATCCGCAGCATGACTAACTGACTATCATTATTGCAACAACAACAACAAATATTATACTATATTTTATAACTGTAAGAACCTGAATAGGAAAAATGATGTATTGAAGAGAATATTCTTCGTTCAGATTGACTTTCAAATCTTAAAAGGTGAAGTGGACAGATATAATCAGAGTGTTTAAACAGACAAATATCATAAAAGTACGAAGGAGATGGAGAATAACAGAGGGCGAAAGGGTTTTGAATAAAACTCATCTAGGCTAAGCGAGGGAGAGACAAAGGTAGAACAAACTTCTTTTGTTGAATGCAAAGACACTAGGATTGTTCTCTCGAATTAATTCTTATAGCCTCTTCGGCTGTGTGCTTAACAGGCGGTTTCCAATTCCGTTCGAGAGGGGTGGTTCGATGGAATGCGATACATTACTTTGAAGGCACTACTTTTGGCCACTTGGTGACCACTATCATCAATGAAATGAACCAAAATAGAACTTCTAATAGATTTTATTTGACCTTTTCCGAACCATAAAGGATGATGCTCATTAATGCGTTTGTTAAGCTGTCTAGTTGTTCACCCTCCATAGCCAGCTCTTTCCACAGGAGCAACTAAATTTATAGATACACATCGAAATGGCACAGCTAGGGAGCTTGTCTTTCACTTGAGCAATCATAATTGGTCGGCAGCTGGAAAATGACAAACAAAGGGTGGTGGCGGCAGTATAAGTCCGTTGTATCGCCCTCTATAATCTCAGATGGTAAGCCTTGGCTACCCACGTCCCCACATTATTATTATTATTTGATTCACAAAATCACCGTCATTGGTTAAACCGCTTTATATATATCTATGTAAATTTAGAGTAAAGCCTGAAGAAGATCTAATTGAAAACAGCAATGTTGTTCGCTTATATGTCTTGTGCTAATATTAAGGAAATCAACACGTATTTATCGATTTTCAGGTACATTATTATTATTATTATTGATTATTTTAAGCAGGAAAACACAGTCTATTGATTGGTGGTTGTTTCTCACTGAATGTTAGTTAATCTTTCATCTCCTTAGCTGTGGCTGTTTCTTCAAGGTCAGATCATCTATCATCCGCTCTCTGCTAATTGTATCCGCCTACGCGGAGAAAGTGTTCTCTGATTGGCTGTTGAGTCAATCAGTCAGTCTGTGTTCTTCTTCTTGTTTTCACATGATCAATATTTGGGA